CTGCCCCTCCCCCACGCAGTCTCGACCTTCCACTTCCACCCCAACAGACCCCACGCTCTTCGCCATCGCGACCAGCTCGGCATCGGTCTCGCTGTTCCGGGTCTCGCTGCCCTCGGGAGGGGAACCCGAGATCCGGCCGCTGTGGACGAAAGCCGTGCACGAGGACCCGAGCATCCCGGCGCTATTCCTGCCTGGACGCCTGCATCATGGCTGACAGCCGAGCGCGCGGACGGGGTCGCGGTCACGTTCTCGGATGGCCGGACGAGCGTCTTCGGCGCGCCCGAGGGCATCTCGGACGGAGCCGATGCGGAGAGCGGGCTGGTGGAGGTGGGGTGCTTTGCGGCGCGGGAGAGCATTGAGGTGTGGTTTGTTGCTGTTGCTGTTCTTTCGGATGGTGAGGGTAGGGAGCCGGTTATGTTTACGGGGGATGATTTTGGGGGGTTGCATACGCGCCGGTTCCATCCCCATGAGAAGGACGAGGGGGAAGCGGAGCTGCTGGCGCCGGTTGTCTCCGATTATAATGATCGTGCCCGCCATCATACCGCTGGTGTTACGGCTATCTTGCCCCTGTCCGTTGAGTTGGAGGGCGGCGCGCCGGTCGTCCTAACCGGGAGTTATGATGAGTCTCTACGGGTGTACCATGCGACGCGGCGCGGGGAGGTGCTGGCGGAGGTGGGCTTGGGGGGTGGCGTGTGGCGGTTGCAGTTGCTGCGGACGGAGCATTCTGTCTTGGCTGCTGGAGAGGAGTGGAAGTTCCTTGTGCTGGCGAGTTGTATGCATGCGGGCACGAGAGTGGTCAGGGTTACGCACACGGTGGGAGAGGCCGCCGGGTGGGAGATTGAGGTGTTGGCCGAGTTTACGGAGCATCAGAGTATGAACTATGCGTCTGATGTGTGGAAGCCGGACGGCGGGTATGATCTGCAAGGCAAGGACATGTCGGAGCTGCTCTGTATCTCGAGTAGTTTCTACGACCGGAGACTCTGCTTGTGGCGGGTCAATGTATAAAAAGATGTTGTTTATTGTCATAAGTGATGCGCTCGATAAATTCATCATGCAAGGCGACGGTATACAAGAGATAAACCCCCAGGCAAAAAAAAAAATCCGTGACTAAATCTATTACATTAAACAATCGTCTCGAGTTCGCGAGCGTAGCCGATCGCGTTTTCAATGATTGCGGTGCTGGCCACCAGGATGTCCTTTTCGGACCGCGTCGCGGCCTCCGGCTCAACAGGGAAGTAAATCCGTCCGTCACGAAGCACCCATCCGCGCTGCTGGGCGAACTCAATGACCGCGCCCTCCGACTCGAGGAAGAGAAGGTTCTTGGCGTTGGAGATGGGGAGCGAGGGGTACGCCTTCTCGGAGCAGTCGGCGATTTCGCTGCGGATGGTTCCAACCAGAACCTGATCAACCGGGACAGTCAGTTTGGGCTCCGACACGGGTAAGGGAAGGAATAGTAGCACGTACATTCGAGAACAAGCCGAAATCCTCTGAAGGAACTCTCTCGGACTTGGTCTCTCTCCACACCTTATCGTAGCTGCCCTCCATCAAGTTTCTCTCCAGCTCCACCGGGTACTTAATGCATGGGTCGTCCTCAATGCTCTTGCCCTTCAGACTCGCCTCCTCAACCAGACCCTCCAAGACTGTGTGGAAACTCGTGCTGTCGCCCATGCTCAGCAACAGCAGAAGGTATAGCCCCGTGATCTTGCTGCGTTGGCTGGTCTTGAAGTCCACCTTTCCAGCATTGGCGCTGTCTCTCTCCAGGTCGTAGAAAGGCTGCAGCTGCTGGTAGTAACGTGTGAAAGAGGGTGCGTCGGTTTGGCGGATGGAGGACAGAGCGCCGAGCTCCAGCACCTCCCGGGCAAGGGCAATCAGCTCTGGTGATGTCGACGATGTGGGGATGAGGGCATTCTGCAGAAGGAGGGTCCGCTTGGCGCGACTGAGAAGGTCGTTGGCCGCATCAAACTGTTTCCGATTGAGAGCGTTGTGAAGCTCAGAGACCTGGGTCCGGAGGTCGGCACCGTTTGCCATAATGGGTATGAGTTGGGATGTGGACTGAAGGGGGTGAAGACGACTCGGGAAGCGAACGGAAATAAAGTGAGGAAGTTCGGAAGAGGTTGAAGCGTACGGGGAAAGATCAGGAGTGGTTTCGTGATAGATGGACGAGGATGGTTGACGATGACAGCAGCAGTTCCAAGAGCTTCTCCAGCGCATCTCTTGGCACGCGTCACGTGGGGCGGTGTGCCAGATCGCCGCCTTTATGCTTCCATTACATACAAATGAAAAATTATCGAAATATAGTAGTTAAAAAAAAGAAAAGAAAAGAAAAGAAAAGAAAAGGAAAAAATAAAGAATAGGAACTAGTTGATCCTGCAATTCCGATATTCCACAGCAGGAACAGTCTATATAAAGACATGCTCAATCACTATATACAAATATGGATTCGAACTATACAATTCTAGACCCCATGCTCATGGCTTATACAGACATAGCCTGTTCAAGGAGTGTCTCATAGTAAGGCGTTCCAAGTCCTGTGACGGGATCCCACCCGGCGGTTGCATTCCAGCTCGCATCTGGCACCTCCCGCCCAACATCGCCAAAACACCCTACCGATCCTCCATCGACGATGTCGGTAAACCCCGTCTGGTTGAGAGAATAGAGCCAAGGGTTGAGGAACCCCAGCCGCGGCTTGTTATTCTCCAGTCGAACCGCATTCAGCCGGGAGACAATACCAGCAAATACAGGCGCCGCGGCACTGGACAGCAGTCAGCTCCGTATCTGAACAATCAATTTATAGTGACAAACCTGGTGCCTCCAGTCTTCAGCAGCTGTCCATGGTCCATGATGATGAAATGATCCGCCTGAGCAGCAACGTCGGGAATCGCCCTTCCATTGGGATTGTAGAGTGTTTCCCATTTGGATTCCAGTTGACTGAGGTATTGGTGGACACTGCCATCCTGGTAGGAAGGACGCGGGAAGTACTCTGAAAAACCGCCTGTGGAGTAGCCAATCGCCCTTTCAGGCCCCCTGCCGTAGGTGCCTCCCACGGACGTAACGAAAGGACATGTTGCCGGGTAAAGTGGCTGGAACCTGGTCCGCTTCGTCCCGTCGTTCGTTATACAAGACTCCCCGACGCCCGAATCGCCGCTGCTGAAGATCACAGACACTCCGCGCGCTCCCAGCTGAGCAAACATGTTACATGTGGTTCTCGCATATATTTCGGGCACGCTCTGTTCTAGTTCACCGTATGAAGTAGTTAAGACAGCAGGCAATTCGTCATCGGGTAGATCTAACAGGTAGCGAAGTTGTTCAAGGTACGGCTCGTGAGGGTCACCTGCGTCATCATGCCCTAATTCACGGATAACAGGGCCACGCCCGGCGGTGCTATAGAAGGTGGTGAAGGGGTTGTCGGCTATTGCGGCAGCGTACTGGATGTCCAAGCTTGCCTCGGAACTGTCCTCCACAGAATCTTGCAAATTGAGGCCACCGTTGATGAGCGCCACGGTGTAGTTAGTGTCTGTGATATTCGGTGCATAGAGGCGCAAGAACTGATGGAAGTCGCTATAGCGTGCATACTGACCCAGGAAACCAGATACCCCCAGCCTGTTACGACGGTCTGGCTTGGGTTTGGAATCAGGGATTCCATAGAGGTTGCGGAGACAGCTAGGGGTGACTATTGATGAACAGCCTGCAGCTAGATCTTTGAGGGTGACAGGCAGCGCTTGCAGGAGTGGCGGCTCAGCTTGCGGCATAAGCTGCCCGAACCGGGTTGTTGGCTGGATCATCTGAACAAAATACCGAAGTTCCTTGGGCACCGAATATTTGAGCGTCCTGACGACGGTTGCTTTCGATTTCTTGTGCTCAAAGATATAGAACCGCGTCCTCAACAACTGCTCTGCTTGCGAAATTGAAACAGTAAAACTAAGCCAGCCTGCTTGATTGTTGATAGATGCAGCAGGTACATGCGCAGCTTCAAGCCAAGAGAGGACCTTCTGCGGAGCTACATCAGATGGATATAAGAAGTTCCGGACCTCGTCACGACTCATGTGGCATCCGTAGTTCTGGTTTCCTGGAGTAGATATTTCGATGACCCTTTGTTCAAATTCCGATATTTTTTCAGGATGCACTGCTAGCTGAAGTTCGATCGGCTTCGACGGGGAAGGCGTCCCAACATCTACCCAGTCATCCGGAATCTTTTCCAGGCGTTCAACAACAGAGTATCTGGGCTCGGTTGCTAGTGCTGTGACTAGAAGGTGAAGAACCAGGGACAAGGCTCCTATAGTATATGCAAGCAATACCATCTGTTGAGGCATATCAGACGCGAGCTTAGTCAAGCCGGTGGAGCAACATACCGGGAGGGATTCATTGGAATAGTTATTGACGCTGGCACATATGTACAAGTAAGAATAGCCATCATGTGCGATGGCTATTTAGCACCGACATCAGTCGGGTTCAAGACTGACTGCCATTGCAATAGTGCTACTAAATGAGGCCTCGTCGCCGAGATCCATGGTTCACCTCATTAGCGTAATGTGGTAAGTTGGTAACTATACATTCTTCTTAGGGCTATCTAGCCACCAGAAGTTTGAGCTATAAAAGGTCCTTATTGTCTCCCAAAGATAGCCTGTACAATAGAATCAAGGATAGTCTGTGGATAATGAACGTTGAGAGAGCTGTCGGCAGTTAGGGTTGACGCAATGAAAGTTCTTTCTTTGTCTCTCTCCTATTGACCCCCGAATTTGGTAAGCGCGGAAGATGCCGGCTTATATAAAATTAATTGTATAAAGCCTTCAAACGAGCCAGTGACTGGAGTTGATCGTCTTTTACCACTCCCCTTTCGGGAGCTTCTAGCGAAATCTAAGCCGATAAGCGAGGGATGCGAACGGACCTGAGGCTTACGATCCCCACCATTCGGGACTTAATTCTGGTACCGAAAGCGGGAGATCTCGATCTAGCTTTAGCTACGATAGGCCATGACCGCTGTGGATAAAAGTAAAGCTGCTCAGGCTCAAACACCCCATTTGTGGCCAAGACCCACGTTGCGCTGGCTCCAGGCTGAGGTGGATGAGAGATCGTCCCAGCTGAAAAGTTTCAGTAGCATGAACAAATCACGTCTGGTTCATATGACCGCTACAATGCTATGATCTGCAAACCAACTGGAGAGATGACGTGGATTCAGCCAGCCACGGGAAATGCATAGATATACGGAGTACAGAGTAAACATATATTTCTCCCAGTTGGTACACCACTCCAGTTTCTCCAGTGGCCGTCGAGAACATTGTTTACCACACAGTCTCCACGATGTCCGGTATGTCTTCACAACAGCCAGCCGCCACAACATTCTCTTGAATTTCATACTAATGAAAATCTCATTTCCTGCCAAAAGAGTATAGATCCGCTACCTATTTTGATAACTGGTCAACCAACTTCCACGATGCGTCTCCGGAAAAGCGCCAGGAACTAGTCCGGAGATTTCACACCAGTTACCAAATCACTGTCAAGAACGGTAGCGAACAGAGCCAAATTCTGATCGACCTTAAGCGCGGGGATGGTGAAATTACGACGGAAATCTATGGCCACCCAGATGGTGAGTTCCTCTTAGCCTTGGCTCCAATCTCCTAGTACGCTGATGAGTTAACCGCCCTCCATTAGTCTACCTCCAGGTTCACGAATTCCAATTTTGCGACTGGGCCGAGGGTAAATCGAGTAGCGAGAATCTGTTCAGGTCAGCAAAGTTGAAAGTCAAAGGTAATATCATGGCTGCGATGAACATAAATGGACTTTTTCAGGAGTTAAATTCGCTAGAGTCGGATTAGCCTGGCGGATTTCTGGTATTCTCTTTTTTAGATTAAGTCAGACTAGTTAAATAGAGCTAGGTGAACTTGGTTACTCTTCTGTAGAGATCACTACCGTCATCGAGTTGGCTGGATTAGATCTTTGCATGAGAGGGAAGGTCTACGAGTCGGCTATTGCGAAGGCATCTTATGCCTAAGGGAGATAGATGGGAGTCATAGCACCGCGAGCTTAGAGACAAACGGGGTAACATGGTTATGAAGCAAATATGTACAGACACATGAGGTTGCTTACGCAGCATAGCATTCCTACAGAGTGATCTGAAGAGCAGGAGATTGCTGGGTACGGTTGATAGAAATTTGGATACAGTCATTCGCAAAGAATGAGTATCGGGATAGTTTATGTTTCCCATATATCTGGTCAGTCATAGAGAAATAGCTAAGCAACAAGCTCCCACTCATCGCCGCCATGCTCAACCTTCTTCATCACTGCATCATCACTCACTCCCGAGGGAAGGAAGGCAGTCTTGAAATCACTAAAGAGGAACGTATCACTCCCACTTCCACCAGTAACCAAGATACCATCATCATTGCGGACATAGCCATCGTCCTTTCCAATCACAGTGATAGAAATGTGATCACTTCGAATCATGACATGGTCCTTCTCAGGCCTGGTTCTGCCGGTCACGCGGAACTTGGTGCGCTCGGACTTGGAGGCGACGACTTGCGGGAGGAACAGTGATTACGTGAATGGCTTCTGTGTGAGCAAAACGCCTCCAGAGTGTCCGACTGATACCAAGTTTGATGAGAAGATTGGGTTGTGTGTCTCGACCACGAGCAATAGCTGCCCTGAGCCCAACACCCATCGAAAAGGCAACGCCTGTGTCTCTAACCTCGGGCCTCAGTGCGCCACCGGTGAAGAGTTTAGTCCAGAAACCAACTTGTGCTTCTCTACCACCAGTGCTGTCTATGAAGACCCAAGGCTGAAGCCAGTGGGCAAGAAATGTATCCTATCCGACGGCCCGAAATGCAGCGATGGCTATGACCTTTCTTTCAACCCAACCGCGAACACCGCTCAGTGCTGTCCTAAAGGCTCGGTCTGGGATGGAGTCTTGTGCTCCTCGCAGAACAACGGCGGTGGATGTCGCCCCGGATGGAAACCTGTGGGCGATCGATGCAAGCTTGAGCCCCGACCAGCGCACTGTCGCCCTCCCACTCGGCTTGAGGACGGCAAATGTGTTTCCGACAAATTCCCTACCTGTCCGAACGGTTATACCGCCGACCAGAACAATCAATGCAAGTCGGAGCAGGAGCCCGTGTGTCCCGATGGCATGACGTTGGTCAACGGCCAGTGCGTCTCGACCAGGCCCCTGGAGTGCCCTCCGTCGACGCACCCTGACAACGGGCGATGTGTGAGCAACCGTAAACCGGCCTGCTCGAACCGCAAAGCCAAGTTTGATGGAAAGGGCCACTGTTTGGTAGATGATATGCCACACTGTCCCAGTGGTATCTATCATTACGGCGCCTGTCTCACGGGCCAGGAGCCCATCTGTTCGGATCCCAACACTCGTTATTTCCAAGGTCGCTGTGTCTCGTCATCCCGTCTCGAATGTCCGCCAGGCTCTACATGATTGCCAATGGTGACTGCATTACACACGTCAAGCCAAAGTGTGAGAGCGGCATTCTACTCAATGGCGACTGTGTCGTTGGTAACCCCACGTGTCCGGATAATACCGACCACAGAGACCAGAACTGCGTCAGCCGTGAGCTGCCCAAGTGCACGGAGGAAGGGTACGAGTGGAGCGAGCTCGAAAAACAATGCCGCAGTAAGGAGAAGACCGAGTGCCCGGACAGATACCGTGCGGAGAACGGGCAATGCGTCTCGGGAGACCTGCCGGACTGTGGCGAGCATGGCACTCTGCAAGGGAAAGACTGTTTCAGCAAGCAGGAACCCAAATGCTCCGATGACACCTACTGGGATGGGGAAGATTGCCGGTCCCCAGATGAACCAGACTGTGGTGAGGGCAAGTGCTTCAAGAAGGAAAAGAACACCTGCGTGGCTGTGGAGGAGCCCGTTTGTGATGATCCCGATACTGTGTTTGACAAGGTGCTGAACAAGTGTGTCCTGGTCAAGGGTCCTCAATGTCCCGATGGCCAAAAGTTCAACCCTGCCACACAGGGCTGTGTGCTTCTGCTCGGTGACTGCTTGGGGTTTGAATACTGTCCTATCATTACTAGTTTTGCATTCTAAGAGAGCTCCATCACCAGGCTAGCTGTTAGTAGACTGCCAAATAGAGATGGTGTTTTGTGTTTTAAGTGTGATACTCTCTCTTCGTAAGCTTTGAATAAGGAGTTTTTGGTTATGAAAACACGAAGTCTTTGGTCTGGTTAGCATCTGGATTGAGCTATACCGGGTCATCCACCGGAAGAGGACGAGTAAAAGTGGATACAGGTCACTAATGTAGTGACCTAGGTATCTCTTTTTCTTCTATTAGCAAAAGGCTCACACCGTAGTCTTCGACTTTATCATTCAATCTCCGCCATCATACATGGAACTGTATACTACGAGGACGCCATATGAGACAGACAACTCAAGTCACTTCGTGATACCCTTAGTAATGAGGGGTAAATATCTGACTTTATATTTCAAACTAATCTCTATGCCAGCGAGTTTCCTTTCCAGCCCACTCTACCCTATGCCAATCCAAAGCGAGTACATTATAATAATCTAGTACAGGTATCCTCTACTGAGACTAACTAACTACCTACCTACAGTACCCACCCCTCATGGCAGCATCACCCAACACCACCACCCAATACACCTCCGACCAATTCGTCGAAAGCTGCGGGGCCATTCTATTCGACCTGTCTACCCCAAACAAGACCGTATGTCTTATCCATTACCGTGCAAAGAACGAATGGCTCCTTGCCAAGGGACGTCGCAACTGCGGTGAAACCCGGCACGAGGCCGCCCTCCGCGAAGTCCGCGAAGAAACCGGCTATCAAGCACACCTCCATCCCGTCACGATGCATACTCGTGCGCCGCCGAGGGACGAACAGGAACATGTGCCAGACATACCTCGCTTGTACCCAGCTCTTACTGAGCCTTTCATGGTCACCATAAGGCAGTTAGATGGTGATGGTGTTAAGATTATTTGGTGGTATGTTGCTGCCCTGGATGGAGGGGTGGGTGCTGGGTCTCCTGGTGGTTGGGGCGAGGAGGAGTTTACTCCAGCGTTCTTTTCTTTGGGGGAGGCGGTAGAGAGACTCAGCTTTGAGGATGATCGGGCTGTTCTTCGGAAGGCGATTGCTTTGGTGGAGGCTCGTTGATTCAGTTGGTTACCTTACCTTGTCAGTGTACTTTTGCAACAGTGAATGACGCGGTTTGGAATATCTACTCGAGTTAGCTAGTAACTAGTTCCATGAGGTATTGTCAATGCTACCAAGGGGATTAATTCGTCTGAACGTTGTTCTATCGGATGTTCCTTATTCAGATATCAGTTCCTCCCAAACTCTTGAGGCACAGAAACAGCACGTGTAGCTATCGCCAGCAGCATAGTATACTAGTACCATACAGAAACCCCTCGAAAGCAAGCCACAAACCCCTGAACCTGTCAGCCAATACTTCCGAAACATGGAAGCCCCCTACGATCAACGCATAGTTCGCATTCCCAGCCCTAATTCTCCACAAACTGCCATCTCGGCCCGAGCAGCCACACTCGGCCAGGTCTCAATGAACATAAGACGCAAGACAGAAAATTCTTCAAACAAGAACACATCACACCGCCATCCAGCTCTCGCTGATAAAACCCAAGCAATGACTGGTCGGGTTTCGCCTGCCAGGTAAGTGTTTCGTAAACCCCTGCCGGCTAAAAATAGCCGGTATGGTCGGGCGGATCCACAAGCAGTACCAAACAAGCTCGTTTCGGGGAACGGTCGGGGCCCTAGGGCTCCGCGAAAAACAATACTCCAGATGCTCTATACTAGACGTTCAGTCTTCCCGATGCATCCCCGGTACACCGATGATGATTGACATGGCATGGAGGAGGTGAATGTTTATCGTTACTGTAATTGATCGGTGGAGGGGAGAATCGTCGGTGCTCGAGTGTACATAGTACATACATCATGAGGTGTGAATCGCAGGTTATAGTAGCTAGAAAGCAGGTATAAATACAACTTCTAGAGACTCACTTCATATCCTCATTAAAACAAACTACAGCAATTACTTGATATCCAAGTCTTCCAGTTACCAAACCTCTACAACAATGCGTTTCTCCGTCCTTACCGCTCTCGCCCTCGTTGGCGCTGCCCTTGCCACCCCTCAGGCTGCTAAGGTTCGTCAAACAATCTGTCCATATCAAGACCCTTTCGGTGTCACGTACTAATCGACTTGTAGATCCCCTCCGGCCAGCCCTGCAAGCAAGATGGAAGCATAGGAGTCTGCGACAGCGGTCTTTGCGTGGTACGTTGAGGAGCACTCGATATCGTCAAGGACACTCTTTGGATCAGTAGCTAATTTACATACACGAATAGCAAACCCCCAGCCAGGCCCAGGGCGTGTGCAAGTGAGCTCCAATATAGAAGCAGCGGAGGGGATTGTGTGCAGTGATGTTGCCTCCGGATACTCGGACAAGTTGCACAATGGTGTATTTAGATTTCATGGTCGTTAGTTGTTGGTGATTTGGCCGTGCCGCTCATTTGAATAAGAAGTGCTTATCAAATATTCTTCTTTCATTTGTGTGTTTTAGGAAGACCTTGGGTCTGATGTAGACCATGTAGAGCAATTGTCTGCGGTATGAGAGAGCAGACTACAAAGTCGCATAGCTTTCATGGAAGAAGTAGAAATTGTTGAATATACAGTGATTGTAGAGGGTGGTGTTGAGTAGTACTATTACCTGATATCGATCCGCTCAGTATAATCTTAGAAAGGACATTGTTTCTGAAACATTTCAATACAGACTGTGCAGTAAGCAGTAATTATGTACAACAATGTAATATGTGTCTCATAAAAATGTGGTATCTGGTATCGAATTACATATGAAAGGAACTTCATGCTTCCATCCGAAGATCAACAAATCCAGCTCATGCAGAGCTAAACGGCTGCATATCAGCTCCACCGCCGAGGAAGAAGGTTGAATCCCCGTACGATAGTTCCAACATAGGAAATGACGGGTCAAAAGAATGGTTGTCCAAGCCTGCCAGGATGCCTGTGCTCCATGTACTACTGGTGTTTAACCAGTGGGGCGAGTTAGAGTCGTGTATTACATCTTGACAAGAGGTCCCCTGCTGCGCGGGACTGGTCTGGGCGGCCAGTGCGGTAGAGCTTTCTTCGTTGAGGAAGCGTTGAGAGAGCGAGACAAACTCCTGGAAGAGTTTCTGCAGATTGGCGATGTGCTCGCTGGCTGTTCCGCTCTGGGTCAAGCAGTCTGCGACTGTCTTCAGAAGGTTGAAATCGCCGATGTGGGATGTGACTACTGCATTGCAGAATAGCACGAAGACTGCTGTCAAGGGGTAGTAAAGGAGGGTCCTGAAAGTTGTTAGTATCCCGTCTTAGAGGTGTGTACAGGAAGGTCACTAACCAATGCAGGAAGGCGACTGTGCTTTGCTTGTTGGCTGATAGACATATTGATACTAAGGCCGAGAGCTCCTGACGTGCTGAATCCAGGTAGAGATCCTTGGCAGTAAGGGTCTGCCCTGGGGTAAGTTGGATCAGATGGAGGATGGTTGTCATAACCGAATGATAGGCGAAATCGAGAGCGGCAATTTCGCTGTGGGTATCTAAGCCTTTCCAACGATCAGAAGGTGTGGTAATCTTGAACCAGAACCTTGTAGTCAGCATCTATGAGATTCAATCTCGACTGGGAAGTTAACTTACCTTGTCGATCCGACTGCGGATATCCTCCATTCTCGGCATTAATTGCTCTCGCAAGTCAGTTACGGGCGGGACGGCCTCGCCTTCGGCTGATGAGGGGTCCTTGATGAAAGGTATGATTCCGTCCTGGATCTGGGCCAAGTCCAGATATAGAAGGAGAAGCTCTGACACTGGTGGATTCAGCCTGGAAGAAGCGTGCAAGATCCCTCCAGGGGTGGCTTCCAGAAAGCCCTTAGACCGGCCAAGCTTCCACGCATAGTTTCTGTCCAGCATATAGCACCATATAAAGCAGAAAAACTCCTCCTCGCTAATGGCCCGTCCATTTGTAGCACTGGTGCTGAGGCCAATGTCGGTACAGATCCGGCAGGCAGTTCTAGTCAACTCCCAGCAGAAGTTAGTATCTCCCGATCCTTGAAATAGAAAGATCTAGAAAGTGGTTAGAAACTAAGGCATGTAGAGATCTTCATATAAACTCACACCACACAGCACTGCCTGTAGAAGCGGAAGCGATGGCGTAGTCACGAGTGGGATTTTTCTTAATGCGGCCTGCGCTGTCGCTCGGTACTGTAGCGCATTGTGCCATAGCCATTGGGACAGTTCCCCATGCTCTTCTGTCATAACTACTGTCGTAAGAAACTTGTACGCTATAGAGTTGACGCAGACAGTGTAGAGGATTGTATCCGATGGCGATGCATCTTTGCGGATCAGGGCCATTCCCATCTTCTCGAGACTCTGCTTGGATACGTGGCGGAAGTAGTCCCGAACGTATGGTCCGAAAAGATCAGTACCAATGTCTAGTTTGATCAAACGAGCCAGGAGTCAGCCACTGCCGCATAACAGAGTCCAGGGGTTGAATACCTTTAAGCATCCATGTCAGAAATTCAGGGGCCGGAATTTTCCGCTGCTCTTCACTCTGGTCATCAATACTAAGCGGTTTCTTAAAACCGCCCATGCTTTCGGTAAATTGACTTGCGGCATACAGTGCAGACTCCAGCACTTGCAGTCTGTTCCACGCGAGGCCCTGAACTCGACTCAGCCGGTGCCGGCTTGCCATCTGCGCATCTGTAAGGGGAACGATAGAAATCCAATTATGGAGTTCATATGCCATGTGTGGACGATTAGTCAGTATAGGTCCGACCTCCGGCATCTCCATCGGTAGACTATCATTATCCGCCTCAGACGGGAGCGAAAAAGCATCAGTTTGCTGATCCAATAGACCGCGGAGCGAGCCCAGCTCAGGCACCGTGTGGGTGGAAGTTCGAGATGATTTAGTTGCGTTGCTTGGCCTGTCACTTTGACGGGATATTTTCCTCATAGTACGTCTCATACTCCGGTGGCGAGTGCATGTAGTTCCTTGATCCTGGCAGTTTCCGCAAGGATTCTTCCTGTCACATCGGACCTGGACAGGATATCAGCAACAGACCACTAACCAGACGATGGGGCACTTTTCTAGCTCTTACCTTGCGAGAATGGCAGTTGTCACACTGTTCGAACGTGTTAGCATGCAGCCAAGATTCCAAACTGTCCCGGATATTCGTACCACCTGGTGTGACGTGGGCCGTCGTTTCTCAACCAACGGAGGTTCCATACTAGTAATGAATAGATGTAAAGAAAGCGAATATCGACGGCGGAACAGAAGAGCTCAGTTGTCAGATATCGGAATTCCCTCTCCACTTATATGGAACAATCTAAGTTTTCCGATTTCCGCCAAGCAGCAGAGGAAAGTCACCTACGAGATCATGCCAAGCCGCTGGTTTGAATGGAGTACAGAATCGACTAATGGCTGAGCGAGGAGAACCCAGTCTCGGCAACGAAGTATTAATAGCGCACATCTCCAGAGCTTCTATGCTGCCTGGTAGGGCTTATCCGATATCAATTTTTATCCATTTTGGATCCATTTTGGATCCATTTTCAGGGGAATCTTCAGGGTCTGCGCCACGAGAACGTGGCGATGCGGACGATAATCTACCAATAGGGTCGCTCGGAGCCCGAATTAAGTACGGAACTTAAAAGTTTGATGACTATTTTTACTTCAGCTACTTAAACAGGATTATTTAGAATATGTCGGGTTCTCGTTACCGTTAAAGCGGATTCTAGCCTTTATGTAGTGCAACGCGGCAACGCTGTCTTATGTTGAGCTCTTATAACTAGTGCGGTGTCTGATCCGAAACACTATAGCACAAGAAAAGGTAGTGGGTTAGTGGGGCCTCGTTAAGCACAATCATGTGGAGATGGCGCTCTCCCAGTACCCTCAGCACTATAAATTGAAGGCGTAGAGTATCCACAGCCTTGGTAGACAGTTCTTTACTGCTATACATACCGCCAAGTGTGAAAGATCATCAATCAATGGATGTAAGGCCTTTGGTAGTCACCATGCACATACTTTCGCCGAGTCTGTAGGACGACTCGGGAAAACTGCTTAACATTTGCTAGATATGTATCATTATAAACCCAGAATTTACCATGAGCAGTCGCGTGTTCTAATGGTTATGATTTGTCGTTCACATACGTGAGCTAGTAGCTACTCCAGTAGTACCGACAAGGTTCCCGGTTCGATCCCGGGCGCGACTATTTTTTTATTTGGTTTGCCTTTGCACTAGTCAGCTTTTTGCTTAGTTCGGTAAACCAGTCTATTCATCTCGACGCTGGGCTGCAAGGCCTTTGTGCTTCTTGGGCAGGTATATGCCGAGAAGGTATAGCCTGTAGCTGTTCCGTAGCTCACTTGCCCTACCGACATCCGTCATATGTAACCATAATTGCTCTCTGCTCCAATTGGACGCGGTTTATATATACAAGTAGAAGAGACGGTCTAGACATTATTCAATGAATGGTAAGCATCATGAGCATTCCTCAGGCACGACACGATTCTTTCGCCGTCCATAGACTGTAGATTCCAAGTATCATAAAAGATACAAATACTGCTTCAAATCCTGGCTGCCGATTAGCGCAAAACTGTGGACAACTTATTCAATACCTGACCTTGATCAGGTATTGAGGTTTCTCGTCGCGTTGCCACTTCTTTCTGCTGCCTATGCCCAAGGCACCGCCGCCGGTGCAAGTACCCTTGGCAGACGGAGACCCGTTGCTCACCGACTTGATAGGGGAGCGAGAGTATAGCAGAGTCTGCCTCCGTCCTATCAATATCGAGACGGAGATTGCCCCGGGAACTTTCGTTCAATACTACTGTGATAGACAGCCTCAACACTGGAACGATAAAGTTGCAGGCGTACCGTCGATCGAGGACTGTGCCCTCGCATGTACCCGCATCGAAACCTGCAAGGGCACATTCTGGAAGAGTCACGACGGGACGTGCTGGTGGAGTGACCAGGAATTCTTGGTAGAATCGGATGGAGCAGATTCACCATGCACCGTCGTCCCCGGTTCCGTCTATATGACTGTTCGGGAGGGCTATACTGATGGCTGTGTTCAAGACTTGATTGAATGTCACAAAAAAACTCAGGTTCTGGAAGCTGTAGTTGAGTTTTGGAAAGAGAAAGATCTCGAATCGGCAAAGCAGATCATGGCTTTGACAAGGGAAAACGAGGACTTGAGAAAACAGAGAGATGATTTGGAAGAAAAGCTGACCCAAAACTGCGTCTGTACGTGAAGTCCAATGAGTTTTCTCAGTTTCTCTTTTCTTCTTTTCTTTTCTTTCCTTTCCTTTTGAATACTAATTAAACGGGGGTAGCATATGTGATCAACGGAAGAAACTGGGCGGCTTGTGAACAAAAGCGTATGTCAATCAAGCCATCAACATTGATGAAGAGTCCATACTTATATTCCTTCAGAACCCACTACTGGCTTTGGCAGCAAAAATGAAATTGCTCGGAAACATGTCGGGTCTGCCCGTGATTGCATGCATTTTGTTCAACGTATACGACATGCAAATGGGCACATTTTGCGAGGGCCGGTGGCAGCTCTCGTCTATGTGTGCTGTATTCCAACGCCGTTAGCACAAATCAGATGACATTCCGGCAGGATTGGGACTTGTTGACCTATGCTTAATTGCATCAGCCCATGGAATCCACCGCATATCTCGATTGATTTGACAAACTGCCACAAAGAATGCTTCCCGATGTTGGACCTGGTAGCAAAGGGTAGTGATTTCAATGTATGGACCGTTGTTAATGGTGAGCCAGCTGTTTAACTTGGTGTATTGCTATTCTTCTCGGTCTCCAGTTGCGCTGATGCAACTTTAGATTCGAAGCGAATTGCTACTATTATTATCTGTTTGCTGTTGTTGGAATATTGACTATGACCTCAGATATACAGGAAACCCATTCTGACTATCTTTGCTTCCTCAAATATAACTGTCTTGAGTACATCTTAGTCTTGACCATACATTGTGGTTTATTGTTAGAGATTCTAATCCAAAGATCGTACCTCTGATATTTTCCGACATTTGCTTAGATCTATACGCAGATAGATAGATCGATGTACGGTGGACTAAAAGTGCTCTTGCTCCGACTCCTCGCTATATACAAGCTACAGCAACTACAGCTATCCTTAGAAGATATTCTTACATTAAACACTTCTCAGACGTATTTCCCACCTCAGTATGTCCAGTCTGTCGGACACTCAAAACTCAACCGTCGAGGTATACCAAAGTTGGATAGGGCTACCTAGGTACTCAAGGCTATTTTCCCTTTTCCCTGGAATATAAAAGTAAAAAAGACATTAACAACCAATCAAGTCGCGTGTTCTAATGGTTATGATTTGTCGTTCACATTTGTGAGCTTGTAGCTACTACAGTAGTACCGACAAGGTTCCCGGTTCGATCCCGGGCGCGACTATTTTTGCTTTTTATATTATCTCCTTAATACGTTGTCTTCTTTTTTTTTTTTTTGTGGTTCACTCTTATAAGAAAGAAAAAAAGAAAAGAAAATGTAAGAAGCTGGGTATTACTTATCGTTCTTGATTTGCTATAGCTAGTATGGCTCTGATGGTAATTCCTACGTGTAGCAAATACATGCACAATATATATCTCCAACGTATTGCGGCTCTAGACTCCGACTCCATGGTAGGTCAGAAACCATTCGTCTCAGAATCAATAAGCCAGTTTTGACGCAGTAAATTAATTATTCTCTTTTCTATGAATGTAGTCTAGACATCTGGTATACTATAGACAAATGTGCAGATGTTTCTATCTCAAACCAAGACCGGAATCAGACGGAAGCACATCATAGACGGCCACTGTGGATCCAAATCCACCCTAGGTCCCTGACCAAGACGGATCGACCCGAGCGTCGACAAGAGAATCTCAACCAGACGGTCTATTGCGATCTGAGAGCTAGACAATAGTATTATAAACAGAGTCTCTGTGCTTTAGCCAACGAACACGTTTCAACAAAAAAGCTAAAAAGAAAGAAAAAAAAAGGCTCTAAAATAACCCACGGCTATAAAGCCATTCTAAAATACCACGCTGTATATACATGCAATCTTAAATAATTCAAATATCTTCAGGGTCATTCGCATATGGCCGTCATAGCTTTTGTGCTGCCACCAATTGATCGGCTCGACGCAGCACTCGGAGATGTTCCTGTTTCAACGATTTAAACTCGTCGTCTAGCTGGTTGTGCCAGGGATATAATACGAAGACCTGGAAGGCGAGTGCGGAGGAGGCGACGGTGAAGTTGACCAGGGAGATTCCACGCGTGAAAAACATCTTGAGTGGTGGGAGATTCAAGACCTGGAGACTTTAGTCAGAGAGAGCCATACGAAGTAGAGAATGGAGGTTGGGAGAGGGAATAATTACAGGAACAATAGCGCCAGCTGTGTTTTGTGTTTTTCTATGGAATCGTGACTGAAACTACCGGAGTTCAGGCAGGTGTCGAGATTATAAAGTATTCTGGGGATGTAGTGGTTGAGGAAGAAGAACTCAGGGGTGACAGTCACTTAGAAAAGATACTTTCACATAACTTGACCGGGGGAAGCATAATTAAATAACTCGAAGAGAGAAAAAAAATGCCGCCCCCTTGATTAATAACTCCGGCCGAAACGAACATCCGTATCCTGTACTTCAACCGCTATCCTAGGGAAAAAAAAAATTAAAAATAAGTTGTCATCTACATAGTGATCCGGTGGAGCCCTACCCAGACTTTCATCGGGGCTAGTATTTTGGGCTAACTCCGTCTAGACTGGTTGCCAGGATAGCGTGCACCAGGAAATTACCACCCTGAATGTCCTACCTGACATTGGGAGTATGCCGTTACTAATTGATGCGTTCTGGTCCACAATCCAGTACGCTTTGTTGGAGCTACCCTTCAGGCAGGTCATTATTTGTTTTGATTCCTCTAAATATGGTCACGTAAAAGGTGGCTGTGAACCCTGCAGGCGCCCTGTCACGGACAGTAAAGCGGTCAACTCTGCACACGAGTGCCTTGGCCATGAGTTCCAGGCTAACGGTGACCGCGATGAGGTGGCGCTGAAGATCGTGGACCAAATAAAATCACGGTCAATCTTCGGAAGGAATCGGACGTGCAGAATTCTAACCAGGATGTCCACGACCGAGGTTGATCGAACTGCCGAAGAACTGCATTTGACTGGGAAGAAGGTTTGAAATAGCGGTATCTGAGCCTCTCTCCAAAGCGCCGTGCCCTACCAGGAGTCAACTCCGATGGTCTCCACGTGGGTCTGCAGGGAACCAAACTCACGGCCGTCGGAGATGGATCGGATCTGTCGGATCCGACGATAAGATAATTTCAGTCGAGTGGGGGTCGGCCACGAGAAGTATAGGGAGTTGCATACTATTATTGGACCCCCACTCTGGCCTGAACCCTCGTTACTTTCCGTCAGTCGGTGCGAGGAAGGAAGGATAATCTGTGTATGGATTTAATTGATGGATCCGAAACAAAATGCAGGGGCAACCTATCGGAGACAAGAAGAAATAATCAACATCGAGACTGCGATCCACTAGTTCGACAATACCTAATATAACCAGTAATTACGTGAGTTAGTTGCATCGTAATCAGAACCAATTCAATACGAGAAAGGACAAAGGCCGTCAGAGATGTTCGAGCACGTCAGTCGATGATCTCTTATCCTGTTTTTCGCCGAGGAGTATTTATCTCCTTTATAGTCGTTGGCTGTGACTGTGATACATATCTTTTCCGGTTCCAATAATCATCAGAAGTTGCACAATCATGTCTTCCTCACAGCAAATTAGCTCGCTCCCCAGTACGGGGTATGGGCACCAGACAGTCGCAGGAGTCAGAGAGCAGACAGGATCAAGAATTGGGCTGTACAGTAGATACGCAGTGGCCGGGGGCATCTGCTGCTCGTTTACACACGCAGTTCTCACCCCGATTGATGTGTAAGTTTGTCTGCCTAACCCAAAAGCGCAAACTGATTAGAGCAGTGTCAAAACAAGGATACAGCTTAATCCTCAGTTGTACCGCCAGGGTATCCTGAGCAGTTTACGGCAAGTAACCGTCCAGGAAGGGGCGGCGGCCTTGACCACTGGATTCGGCCCCACGGTTACTGGGTACTTCTTGCAAGGAGCTTGCAAATTTGGTGGATATGAATTCTTCAAGAAACTCACAGTCGATGCCATCGGACAGGACGCGGCGTCGAGAAACCGGAATGCCGTATATTTGACCTCCTCTGCTACGGCGGAGTTCTTTGGGGATGTACTTCTGTGTCCGTTTGAAGCGGTTCGAATCCGGCTCGTCTCTCAACCGACATTTGCTCGAGGCCTTGTAGATGGCCTCGGGAAGATGGCATTACAGGAAGGGGTCAGTGGTCTATACTCTGGCCTGGGGCCAATATTACTGAAGCAGTACGTCGTCATCCTCCCCAAAAACCATGATGTCCTCACGACCAGCTGAATAACCTCTCTACAGGATTCCGTACACGATGGCTACTTTCGTCGTGTATGAAAAAGCTATCGAGTTGGCATATCAGTCGCTTGATCGGTCGAAGTTATCCACTGCGGCACACACTGGGATCAATCTCGGCTCCGGCCTGGTAGCAGGAGTGGCGGCCGCAATTGTATCACAGCCGGCAGACACGATGCTCAGCCAGATCAACAAAACGCAAGCACAGTCCGGAGAAGGAACTATCCGTCGATTATTTAACATCGCGTCCGCACTTGGGATCCGTGGTAGTTATGCGGGCATTCGAGCCCGACTGGTCATGGTCTCCGGTATGACTGCGGGCCAGTTTGCCATCTATGGGGATATCAAACGGGTGAGAAAGCGGCCCCTTCCAATCAAAGGCAATCAGACAGTGAGCTAACCATGTTACAAGATGCTCGGCGTAGCACCAGGAACCGTCGATACCAACAACTGAGGTATGGTGGGTGAAAAATCTTCTATAATTGCAATCGATTCTATGTCGGATAGAACACATGGCGTTAGGAAAAAGGGGTCTGTTGGATACGTATTTATACAGTATATAGAATAGAATGAAAAAAATATTCCTAATGACCCCATTTTCGCGACTAGCTGCTGGCCTCTTTGCGATCGGTTATGACTTGGCAGGGAAGAGGCGCTGCGCTCCAGGGTAAATTGCTTGTTGAGTAATGTCCCTCGATTATCCACTGTCCTTCGTCTGACGCATCGTGGTTTGTGGCTTCGAAGATGGGGAATCACCCGCCGAAGGGGCACTGCCGGTCTTTGCAGCTGCTTGTCTGTATTCTGCTTCCATGGCGGCCATTTTTGCCTTGTGTCTCATGGCGTTGTCCTGCCTAGCCTCTCTGTCCGCAGTGATGGATTTGTTTGCCAGATAGTAAGCACCTCCACCGGCTATCATCAGGAAAAGGAACGATATGTTAGCCAGGCTAGAGTGATACAGCATGATAGGAACGATGTCCTTACCTGCACAAAGAGTGCCCCAGCCTATCCTATTCGAATGGGATGAGCCATTTGCATCAGTAATATGGATTACGATTGTATCCACTTACCAGGTTGATCGTATCTGTCAGGAGAAACATGTCAACGGTGCGGAACATTGATCAATTGTTCAATTCCTCTACAAAAAGAATAAAAATGGAATAAAATAGAGTAGAATAACGAAGAAAGAAAGATAGAAAAGAAAAGAAAAACGAGAAAAGAAGAAAAGCAAGAGGCGAATCCAGGGGTGGGAGGAAGACGTACCGTGTTCATGATGACAAGAGTTGGATAATCGATCAATTATCACAGCGAGACAGGTCTGAGAAGAGGAGAGTTCTACGCCGGACAAAACAAAGCGAAGAATACCAACCGGCCGCTTCGACCCGAGGAGACTTTCAGAATCAAAGACTTTTCCTAAAGGGATTTAGTCCCTTGGTACAATGTGGGACTCTGCTAAGAACGGGGTTGCAATTTCCAGTTAGGCGGGAAATCGCTTGGAGGACAATCTTTACAGCCGCCGGTACTTTTGTGGGGTCGAAGGAATACACTAATCACCGTTGTTCACTATTCCTACCATCTATGCCGCAAATGCGGGACTATCATGGTTCGCATCCGCCAAAGGATTTGACTGCTGGTCTCGTCTCGAAAGATTATGACCCCCTTCGAATCGGATTCCCAATAATTACGACGATACACCCACCAGATATACTCCCACAGAGCACGCAAAGCCTCATCGCCATCTTCATAAGTGACTTTGTGGATGACACTGGCAAGTACATCATACTCAAGAAAGGCTCCAGGAAACAACCACCGCCAGTCCGGTGACTCTCGAGTGCCTGGCTGTTCACAGATGCCTTCCTGTTCGTCAAAGAATCCCAACGTGCGAAGATAACTGGGTCGATGAACGGTCCAAGATGTAGATGGGTTCCACACCAAGGACAGCAGTAACTCAATAATATTGGGGGGCCGAAGGTATTGAGTAACAGATCGAACAAAAAAGGCCCAGTTCACGCCTTCGGACTGCTCACCGTCAAAATAGAGCCCTGCTCCGTCCTCGTCCAACCAGCTCCGCATGCCATAGACGTCAACGAAGATCTTCCGCCCGAGAAAGCCCCAAACAAAGTCAAATACCTCGAGAACGTCCAGCTTCTCCTGGAGGGTCCGATCCGGATTATCCCTCCAGATTCCCCTCACCTGGACGAAGCGGTTGTTTCGTTCTTGTGGTGTTTTATAACGTGATATTCTGGCCAGCCACAATGCCTCCACGGCGAACCAATGTGCTGTTAAGGCCTGGTAGAAACGTCTATAACCTCGGTTTCGTAGGCTAGGCAATGTGGCATAGCCTCCAGGCACCGTGTCCTTATGCGGTGTAATGGTCGGTTCTAGGAGAGGCTCGTCATGCACGAGCGCATGCTCTTCCTCATAGCATTCATTATTAGGCCAATTCAGGAAGACTGAGCGCGAATACCTTGACCGAATGGAGGGGTTGCAGTAAAGGTCGTAGAGGAGACGGAGGCCCTGCCACCGGCACACGATTGACCACACCTCATCTTCGGGTAAAGAGTCACCATCAGGGGTGTGGAGGTTCAAGATGTCCGCATGGGTAGGACGTTTCGATAAAGGTGGTTCCCCATGGGACGCGCTATATTCGGCAAAGAGTCGTTGAGAGATGTTTAAAACTGGGGACAGCTTGAGATCGTAGCGGTGATGAGCGGCATTGCCCTAGTCCCACATCAGACTGCAAGAAAACAAACTTCGAATGCATGCGACTTCACCTACTATTACCGATCGAAATGCCACCAGGCGATGGCTCTGTCGTTCGAAAGTGCCGTGTAATTGTTTACAGCATCGTGCGAGATGTAATACATCGTCAATGTCCCCTAAATAGCAGCAGATCGATAGAAGAATTTCACACGGGATATTCAACAATGGGCTTGACATGTTCAGGTCATGCCAACGGGGGTCGCGGAGCTGCTTCGGCTCCTGCTGGTTGTCGCCCAGCAAGCCATCTGTTCATATTCCCTTCTGGCGCGGGAACGTTTTCGGCACTCACTTTTGGATTAAATGAGGGCTTGCGTCGATCAGCGGAAATGACATGCACCACTTCGAAGTTAGGGCACAGCGCTCGGCTCCGAGTCTCGGCTCCGAGAGTATGCCGTGGGCCGAGAACATCCCGCATCTGATATCCTACATTTCCTCCATGTATTGGTATAAAGTTGCTGTTAAAGCTAACCCACAACTTGCTCGCCAGCTTTTATTTCGGTATATCTATTCGGATCGAATGCCACCAAAAAGAGGTCCCTTTGGCGGAGATTTCGCCCCTGAATCTTGGCTAGGGATCATGCAGGATCGTTCTTTGAGATTCGATTCGTTTTAGATATAGAGCGTACCGGTCGATCGCTTTTATTCTCGAAAGACTCTCCTGGAATGACTGAAAATGACTCGAAGTCAGCAGTACCCTGACCTCCGAAGATGGGACACTCTTACTGCTGTATAGTTCCCCAGGCATGCCTCGTCTGGGTTGACACTGCGGTTTCTATCCACATATCCTTGCTCGATCGCGAGCCTGCAAAATGGTCATTCCGAGGGATCCTCGTGAAGAATAGTTAAAGTGACATGTCAAGTAGCTGTCAAGGTGCTCCAACTAGACATCCAGCGGACGGAGCTAGCTATCGTGCAATGAAGCTCACACTATTGGGAGCGGTGATACACGAAAACCGACAAAGAATATAAGACAGTCTGAACGAAAGCCAAGCAGAGTTCTATAAAGATATGCTCAAAAGTCGGAAAGAATGCTGCAACCGTCCGGAACCTCAATTTAGTCCGCCGTATTAGATGACTTATATTACACACTACTCAACAGCAATAGCCGATCAACGTCTTGAAAAACAACACAACACACCCGTCTTGCCCAAGAACCACAGAGCGCCCATAAACCGGAAAACCGACAACGCGGAGGTAAGCCAGAGGATGATCTTAAAATACCAGGCCGTACGATCCGTTGAAGAAGTCTAGCAATTCTCGTCAGCTCATATCACGCACTGCAGGGTTGTGCTTAGCCTACCGTCAAACAGAGATTCCTGATCCCCTCGTTATTGATACAGAGGGCCAAGAGCGCGTTACTCAAGACCCATAGTAACACGAGATTGGTCCGAAAGCGTTTATACGAATCATCCAAGTTGCCGTCCTCCTTCTCCTCGGGGGGCTGCCACGGGGAAAGAGCTCGTCGGACTGTGAACTCAAACTGAGTGTCGATGTCTGCTTGCGGTTTGTCCAGCTCTTCGACGAAGTTTGTCTTTGCGTCGGCCTTTTTCGTCTGGGCGGATGGGAGTGAGCCTGCTTGGTCGGATCCCTTGGTGCCCCATGAGACGTCGTGCCAGTTGCAGAAGGCGTAGACCATCAGGACGTTGATCGAGGAGGGCATCCCGAGAAAATAAGCCCATGAGGATGTGAGCATGTGCCATGGGTCGAGGTATAGAATGCTGGATATGAAGTAGATCCCGTAGGTCGACACTAATGCGATCAACACGAGTCCGCTGGTGGAGGTGAAGAAAGATCCGATGAAACCCCCAACCCCATCGTCCAATTTGAGGTCTATATTCCCACCGCTGAATGCCTGCGCTACAAGATAAAATGATAAAACCAGAATGTAGAGTTGGACGACGGAGAAGTAGATGAAGGATAGTGTATATGAGGTTTTCGATCTAGTGGCTTATTGTTAGTTTCGCACACTAAAAGACCCGTTGCATGCCGTTGAATAAGTTCTTACCCCTTCGGTCGATTGCCAAGAGCAAGGATGTACTGGAGCATGAGGAAGGCAAGATAAGTGATCTTGACGATGTTGTTGACGACAGGAGTCGCGTCATTGCCGAATGGCCAGCCCTTGTTTTTGTTAGTTGCGCTTGGTGTTCCTACGATATCCATAATCACAGAATTGGTCAGCCAGTAGGATGCTGCAGCACGTTAGCCCTCATAATAGTGTCAATCGTCTGATATAATTAACCTACCGAGGGAGAACCACGTCATGATAAGCTGGCAGATGTTGTAAAGTAGCTGGACGTGAAAAGCAACGAGGCGAATCAGGTTGTGGCCACTCTTATAGATGCGATTGAAATGCATGATTGAATATAAACTTGCCGCGAATGAGCCGTTGAGCCAGCGGCGTCTTTGACTGAGAAATTCAGCGGCGCCTATCAAAATCAGCACTCGCACATTGTGGTATCAGACGACATGCAAATCCTACCTTCTGGCACGTCGGTTTCCCCCTTTGAAGCTTTCACATATGTCAGCGTCCATCGAGAGCCCGCCTTCGCGACGAGCTCAAAACACAGAATACGATCCTCAGCCAGGAACATATTCTTCTTGAATATATTCATTCCTTCAATACCTTTCTTGCCTAGCTTCGAAGACAACGTATGATCCCCATGGAAGTACTGCTCTAAAGGTCGACCCATGATAGCTCGGTATCGGTAAGCAGAGAATGCGCCGGGGAGAACACTAACATAGCCAAAGGCGCTTTCCAAAGGCTTGTCTAGGATATTAGAGATCTTATATTCAAAGTTCTGCGCAGCCACTAGAGGATTCACAAGCTTCTCCCAGCGTGGGCCGAGCAGCGCATGGATCTCACCACACGCTCCTCCGAGGTTCTTCTTATTATAAAATGCTTCCCAAAGGGCAAGGAGAGATTTATGCCCCGGCTTGGTGCCGGCGTCAATCAAGATGACGACCTCAGGGTTTAGCAGTCGGCCAAACGCATTGAATAGCCATCGGTGGGAGTTGATCTTTTTGCTATTTTTCTGCTTCAGGCAAAATATCGTCTGAACCGGTGGCAAATTGGTGGGCTCGTCGCCATGAGGGCGAACCAACTGTTGCGCAGGCGTGATCGATAGTTGGGTTGTGTATTCAAACTATCAACCATCAGCAAATAACGAAGGTAAATTGCAATGTGGAAGAGTCACGAACAATGTGAGCAACAGTCTCCCTACCATCTACATCGTGTTTCATGATTCCGTCCTGGTAGACGCCCACGGTGGCCAGGACATCAAGCGTGTTCTTATCGCAAGGGTCAATGCCGTCGAAGACGAGACAAACAACAATCTTCTGCCAGGCTGGTCCTCCTTTATTCCAGAATTCTGTTTTCCTGAGATTGACGATTTCCCGAACATTTTGCATCACGCCGTGCAGGGTCCGTGCCGTGAGCACCTTATCCTCGTTATAATAGGTAATGGCGATGAGCAATTCAGTAGACCTGTTGTACATGGAAGGCCGTAGGTTGTAACCATTGCGTAGGGTGAACTCGTCAGGGTCGCAGGTGGCTGCTGTATCTGTAATCCGTTAGCTTTGGCATCTTGCCTTGACATGGATGCTTACATCGAAGGTGTGTAAACTCTTCAGCGAAGCCTTCCCCAGCATCGCGGTATTTTGGCTGGATAGCGTTCCGAATAGCGCTGGGCACGGGATAATCTACGCTCAGGACGCTACCTTGGACCAGGTTAATTCTTCGGGTAGGGTATCGACGAAGCGCACTGGGCGCTGGAGTTTGTCGCTGTCGCCACGAGTCCGGTGTTGAAGCATCGTCTGAGTATGCGACGGTTGGATATGAAGCAAACGGATCTCTGCTTACTGACTGAGTTCGTGAATAAGTTGATTGCGTCTTCGTACTAGGGCTTCGTAGAGTGAGCTGTTCGGGAGTCCCATGGCCGAAGGGTTGTGATTCAGGTTCGTAGGCCGGATAAGGAGGGCCCAAAGGAACCGAATGGAGCAAAGACTCTGCGTGTTCTCCATGATATAGTCGGTCTTCACGATCATATCTTTCCTGAGAAACAATCGAGTGTCAGAAGGCAATCCATCCTCGAGCAGACCTCACCCTACCCCCCTGTGATTGAGACTCACATTAGGCGAACGACCTTTCCTCAGTGGCGGACTATTCTCCGTAGAGTCTTGGGAATACACCAATTGATCTGATCTCTCAAACTGGTTCTCCATGGTTTGGTTGTTTGATTGTGAAGTCGCGGACAAGTCTGCGTGTCATTTACACAGGTTCTAACTTCTAGAGTTTCCCTATATTTCCAGCACCAGCTTACCAGGAGGCAAGCTAGGCCAAGAAGGGACTTCCTCTACGAAACAATAGCGTCCATAAGGACCAGGAAATGGGCTACTACTGACACTCCCTAAGCAAAGGTGCGGGTGTATTTAGGGTTCGAGCAACGGTAGAGTGGGGCCGCGATGGGAATCATTCTGGAAGCAGATAAAAATAGTCGGCGATACGCTTCATTTTCCGAGCCCCGGCTTTTCCACCAGACTTCCACCGAGAGATGGAAAACGAAAATTTCTTTGAGCGTTGCACGCCGGCTGAAACTGCTCGCTACTTAGTTCCCCGAGCGCAGCCTCAGTTCCTCGGGGGATGCGATATTGGTGTAGTAATAGAACACTTCGGTCATGGAAATTTCCTATCAGCTCGGCGTTCGATGCTATATGTGCTTCGTGTTCATTTATGTAAACCGTTAATACAAGCATCACTATCCAGGATCATAAGTACAGACTCCCAGCCCTACCAAGGCAAGAACCAGACCAAGGAACATAACCTGATTGCCCGGACTGGAGCACCCTGGCTACCCGTGCGAACCTCCAGACTTCTTCTCATCAAGTGCCCAGCATATCGCCGATTGACTTGGCTGAAAGGTGGGAATGGATCTTCAAGTACGACTCGATCAGGAATGGGGAGCCTACACAGAGAAAGACACTGTGTCTGGCCACTTGATCTTCCGTAACAAGGCGCCAGTGAACATCTCAACAATTACAGTCAAGCTGTCTGGGATAGCAACGTCGCGACTAAATTCTGGAAGATACGTTGAGTCCCATCAGGTACGTCTACCAAGATCAAGAGTGATAATCGTCTCTTAACATCCCCATCTATAGTTATTCCAACGTTTTCAAAATGTTTTCCCGCCCCAGAAGATAACCGAGATCCCCGTTTCTAGAAGTCTAACTGTTGGCTCTGGGACGCACATCTTTCCGTTCTCCCTCACGGTAGGCTCCACGACCCCTTGCAGCATGAAGATCTCAATCTCGTTTACTTATGCTTGTTCTGGGTTTATTTAGTTTCCTGCAACGTCCGAATGCCATAAGATCAGTCTAGATGAGAGCAAACCAAACCAGTCATGCACGGGGTTCCTCCACCGGAAGAACAAAACCCACCATCTTCTACGAAAGCTTCCACCCTCGACTGGCGACACCCTATCGGCCTGGGAGGTCAGGTACTTCCTGGACGTCACTATAACAAAGACCGGTATCTTAAAAGGGGTGGAGAAATTAGTTGAGTAGCCTGGATATGCGAAAAGGAACAGGAAAGCCATACTAACCACTGTATTTTCTAGCAGACTCGCAATATCCTATTCTACCCCGTGCATGAATTTAGCCCTCCAAAAAGCATACTAAGAAGAAGATGTCTTCTTGCCATCAGCCACGATTCTGTCAGCACCAGCAGCCCACTGGCATTTCAGGTTGACGTCGAGCTGCTGAACGGGCAGTGCTTACTTCTAGGCTATCCTATCCCATTGAGGATTAAGCTCACCAAAGTCGGAGACAGAGAATGCTTCGTATGGTTGAATGACTTCCAGACCATGCTCGTGGGATCAACGGAGACGCATGCATCTGGGCTTGTCGAGAAAGACACACAGTTCCAGGTCATACAAACCATGTCGAACATCCACCACGTTGTCAGCCATGATCGAGCCCTAAATGGGGCTGAATTATGTATTGGGGACAGTATCTGGAACAAACACCGACTACCAACCACGCTCACGCCGTCGTTTGAGACCTGCAACATCAGCCAAACATATACACTCGAAGTCAGACTAGGTCTGCAATGTGGCTACTCTAAGGTAGGATAACAAGAACACGACCTGGCTCGAGTTGCGCTAACGTTCCTTACTATTAACAGTTCAGGACGACGATATTGGAGTTTAGTTTCCCGGTCTATCTCGCCCCTCCATCAATGGATCCCGACCCGTATGAGGCGAAATCGGCTAAGCTGTTCTAATATGAGTTTCCCTATGTATATTATGTTTGTTCTGCTGGACTGTTTGAAGCTGCTTCTTATTCCACGGACAATGTTCTACGAGATAACCCCAATCGCATACTCTACAAGATACCTTTTTCCTTTCATGCAGGTGCAGAAGTGATTACTTAATTCCATCACTGAATAATATACTCAGATCTTTGTAAGACTAAACAGCTGGGTCTACCGTCCGACTCTCTCAGATTGCCTATCACCATCTGGGTCTGGTATTCATCAAGTGCAGTTTATCATCTGATGTGTGCGCAGCCGCAGGACAACCGTGGGACCTGAGTAGAAAAAGCATGTCAGCCATCCAATGGTCTTTAGAATGAACGTATCCACTGTCTCACATTGTCTGTTTGCTCTATCGCACGATGAAAGGGGACTGTTATTGGCCTAGAAGGCCTTTTCCATTATACAAGCAATGAACCTCATAGCTCCGCCCATGCCTCAAACATCCAATCCCTGAGCTGTCCATTATATTAGTTGCAGTGCGGCAAATTAGCCAGATGTGAATAAAAATACATGGAATCACCCGGACATAGCCAGCGTAACGTTACCCCCTGATCCATACCACCTGGTGCCTGTCGAGTTGTCTATATAAAGGACTTGTTCTTCTCATATAGAGGTGCCTTTCATCTCTTGGTGGTTGTTGATATCTCTCTTTTGCTAGACTGACACAGACTAGTTCGCTCTTCAAGCCTTGCTCTGAACATTCACAGTGTAACAGTATACTTCTTCAGCTTTCGTGACAGAAGTACCATGGCGCAGAGTCATTCTTCCCTTTCGAGGCCGGGGTGGTTGGTATTTATGGTATTCCAGGTGCCGGAAAGACAACCGTGCTCAACCAGCTCAGAATGGCTCTCGGCGAAGACCACTTCATGTACTTCGAGGGCAGCGAGGAGATTGACAAGCTCGTTTGTGGAGGCATAACATCATTCAAACAATTGGATGACAAGGCGCGTAAGGTCTTTCGTGAACTTGCGATCAGCTGTATCAGACAAAATTGTCTAGCATATGATAAGACTGGTGTGGTCACAGGCCACCTGATGTTCTGGGACGAAGGTAATAAGTCTGGATCGGCCGTGTATATACAGAGCGATCTGGACACCTATACCCATATCATTTACCTTGATGTACCTCCCGAGGAGATCGTCAAGCGCCGTCTCGTTGACCCTGGCAGAGATCGCTCGCACGTCTCAGTCGCCCACGTGCGGCGCTGGATGGAAGCTGAGAAGCAAATGCTGCGCGACCTTTGCTACCGCAATAACATTCTCTTCTGTTCCGTGTCTCCAGACATGATCCCCAAGGGTGTTGAGAACCTGCTCCATGATTTCAGCAAACATGACGAACGACACAACCTTTCCAACGCTCTCAGCACCCTGGACAGCATCCCTGCCATACAAAGCGGTACTCTGAAACGGATGATCGTACTTGATGCCGACGGTACCTTGACCTCGCAAGACACGGGCGCCCTGTTTTGGAAGATATTTTCCCCACTCCTGGGATATGCAGATGGAGACTGGTCGAAGACGCCCGCGCGAATTGTATTTGAGAGTCCTTTGGGTTACTCATACAATGCCTTCCGGCAGGTGACTCTGCTTCATGAAGAAAGGCTTCGTGATAATCAATATGATTTTGTTTGCCGGGAGGTTGCCTCGTCTGTAACTATGGATGAGGAATTCGTCACGCTTCTGCGCCGTATCGCAGAGCAGAATCACGTCGCTGCAGTGGTCGTGACCGGTGGCCTGGCTCTGATCTGGAAGTATGTGCTGGAGATGCAAGGGTTACTGGACAAAGTTTCAGTCATTGGAGGTGGCCGCATCAGCGATGGTTTTGTTGTGACTCCAGAGGTGAAGGAGGCTTTGGTTGATCATTTGAAGAACCGATACGGTCTCGTGGTTTGGGCGTTTGGAGATAGTCCTCTTGACCTCAAGATGCTCTGTAAAGCCGACAAAGCCTTTGTTGTTGTGGGAGACGAAGCAACAAGAAGCCAGTCGATGGACAGGGCTTTGAAACAAGCAATCGAGACCGGCGGGCTGAAGGCAGAACAATGTCTTCGCCCGTGTTTTGTAACCCCTCGTCTCAACAAGGAGATCCTTCCTGAAGTCAAACTCCTCGACCCTACCTTTGTTGACTCCCTGCTTTCAGACGGCACCAAGTTGAATGTCATCAGCGCTGAGAAGTTGAACCCAGAAGCCGTCAAGATTCTGATGACGCCCATGCGAAATGCCAACGTGCAAGGACCACGTTTGAGGGAGGCTCACGGTGATGTGGGCTGGTATCTAGCCAAAACCTTTTTGCCCACGCTCATTGGAGTTGAGCAAATTGATATACCCCACCCGCAAGGGCATAATACTACCGGCTATCAACTCCGGAGGGAGGACAAAATCTTGATTGTAGCGTTAATGAGGGGAGGGGAGCCCATGGCATTCGGAGTCAACGACGCATGTCAGCGGGCCATGTTCGTTCACGCCAAACAGCCATCAGACCTTCCAGACGACCTTTTGAAAGACACGGTTGCTATTATCCTCGTGGACTCCGTTGTGAACTCTGGTGCAACTATCCTGAGTTTCCTAGAACACATCAGGAGCATCAAGAAAGATGCTCCTGTTGTGGTCCTCACCGGTGTGATACAGGAGGAGTGTGCTTCGAGGGGCAGGCTAACCCCTGCCCTTACGAAGCACCGTAATGTTCAGTTTATAACCCTACGTATCTCGAAGAACAAGTACAAGGGAACGGGGGCCACGGATACTGGAAATCGCCTCTTCAACACTCTCCATCTGCCCTGATTTCTTCTTGATTCATCTGTTTCGGTTACTTGTTAGTATCGTTGAATTCGTTTGTACTTTTCTTGGTTCTTATTAGTTGAACAAATTGATATTTCAAAGGCCTTGAACTGTGCTTCCGATATCTCCCCTCCCCAAGTCATTGAGGATAGAGATCGTTACGCTAATCGACGAGATAGAACGCTCTGGAGGATGAGAAATATGACATTCATCAGATATAATGCAGAACTGTCATACTTTAGGTTACGTTCCTGTTTAACACTACTTGGGAAGCCTTCATGCTAATGGCGAGAGAGCATTTATAATCGTCATTTCCTGCATTCTTCCAAGCAGTCGGTCTAGACATACTGTGGGGAATGGCAAGGACCCACGATGAGCTTCCCAAGCAGCGTGATTCAGTGCTCTGATAGTCATGACATCAGCTTGACTTGTGGTTCCATCCGCCGGGGCCCGGGGACTATGACGCCCCGGACTTACGGCTTTACGGCTATACAGCAGCACATTAACAGTAGTATACGGATCCATTAAGCCTGCTGTCAAAGTTTATAGATTAACTATATGACCCTCTGACAATTGCCACCAGTCTACTCCGGGGTAATATATAAGCTTATTCTGGCAGAGCCGGACAGTGCGGATGTGAGGATCAACACCCAGGGCTGCATCAGAACAGCCCTAAAGATGGAGACCATCCGCGATTCAGCCTTTGGAAAGCTCGTGCGCCTCTGCACTAGGAACCGATTGCTACGATACCCAGAGGAGATTGATCCGGCTCTTTGGACGGAATGCTTGAAGCCGGAGCCCAGCGTCACTGATGAAGAGGCAGCGACGTTGGCGGACACCGAGGCCGACACGTTCGGTCTCTACGCCGTCATGTCCCAGGCGTCACGAGTGTCGCGCCGTCTGTCCATAGCGTCAACCGCTGGGGTCACTGGAGGGACACCGCTTCTGGTTGACTGGCGTAGCCCAGATGATCCTGAGGTGCATCTACAAACTTGCCTCCCCACCATGCAACTACTTTACTTACACACAGATAGAACCCCCAGAATTGGAGCACAACCAAAAAGCTCCTCGTAAGTAGCCAGATCTGGCTGTTGACTTTTTCCATCTACATCGGATCGGCGATCTACACCCCAGGAATCGAAGGCGTCTCGGAACAGTTCGGCGTAAGTAGAGTCGCCGCCACACTGGGGCTGACGCTCTTCGTGCTGGGTTATGGCTTAGGTACATACGTCCCCATCCATTGATAACTAACTATCAACGCGTCAGACAGCACACTGACCCGCTACCCCAGGTCCAATGATCTGGTCCCCTCTCTCGGAGCTCCCAATCGTCGGCCGAAACCCTGTATACCTCCTCACGCTCGTCGTCTTCGTCTTCTTCCAGTTCGCCGTCATCTACGCAAAGAACTTCGGCATGCTCCTGGCCTTCCGGTTCATCACCGGCTTTCTCGGCTCCCCAGCCTGGCCACCGGCGGAGCATCCATGGGCGACATGTGGAACCCGAAAGTGCGCGACTACATGATCGCGATCTGGGGCTGTTTCGCCATCTCCGCGCCCGTCCTGGGACCTCTGGTCGGCGGCTTCGCTGCTTCCGCGAAAGGATGGACCTGGACGATCTGGCAGCTGCTCTGGGCCAGCGGGTTCACCCTCGTCCTACTCTTCTTCTTCCTCCCGGAAACCTTCACGCCCAATATCCTCTGGCGACGAGCACGCCGCGTGCGGAAGATCACAGGGAACTCGAACTACAAATGCGAAGCGGAGATCGAGCTCAGCCAAGTCCGGCCTAAGGTGGGCACAACGTACCCCCAGCACATAACGCATAATCCTAACTTCAAAAAAAAACAAATAGGACGTCCTCTTCGAAGCCGCCATCCGACCCTTCCAACTCTGCTTCCTCGAGCCCATCGTCTTCTTCCTCAACCTCTACATCTCCCTCATCTACGGCATCCTATACATCTTTTTCGAAGCCTTCCCGATCGTCTTCAGCGAGATCCACGGCTTCAACGCGGGCGAAACAGGGCTCGCCTTCCTGGGGATCCTGATCGGGACCTTCCCCACGATAATAGGGTACTTCTTCTGGAAAGCGAAGTACCAGGTGCGGCACTTCGACGCGAACTGGAACATCGCGCCGGAGCAGCAGCTGCCGCCAACGCTGGTGGGGGCGTTCGCGCTCCCGATATCACTGTTCTGGTTCGGGTGGACGGGCAACTTCGCCAGCGTGCATTGGATCGTGCCGATCATTGCGTCGATGTTCTTCTCCGTCGGCGGCTGCTTGATCTTCAACGGCATCTTTTGTTACCAGGCGCATGCGTACCCCAGGTATGCGGCGTCGGTGTTGGCTGGCAATGATTTTATGCGCTCGTCGTTTGGGGCTGGGTTTCCTCTGTTTGCGACGGCGATGTTTCATAACCTCGGGGTGGGTTGGGCGTGTACTCTGCTTGGGTGTCTGACTGTTTTGTTTGTGCCGTATCCGTTTGTGTTGTTGAGGTATGGGCGGAGGTTGAGGATGGCGAGTAAATTTGCTAGGCATGATATTTGATTTCTGGGTTCTGTGAGGGCTTGGATGGTGGGTACTGTGTACATATACTGTGGTTTTACGTCTGTGAATGCGCAGTTCATGATGAATGTAGTTCTTTCATGTTGGTAGCCGCAGCCAATCTATATGCGAGCTGTGGTATTATGATCAAGAAACAAAAGTGCGTTCAAATCAGTGAGATACTCATTGACAAATCCAAACGAGGTATTCCATGTAAAAAAAGTTCCAATTCCTTGTCCCATCGCAGCCATCCCATCCCAATTCAATAGAAAGAAAAATCGTCTTTTATACATGACGTAAACCATCAACGGACAAAGTGCAAACAGGGCGAATGTACAGGTAGATCGAAGGTGTGATAGGGGTGTTGATTGATTTTGTTCATTATCGTCGTGAGTTCAGAATTCAATATCGTATTAATCGTGTGTCGTTCGTGCCGTCGGAAAGTGCGTCATGTATGAGGTCGAGAACAAAGGAAACGAAAAGGCAAAAAGAAACAAAAGCTGAAACCGAGTGTATCCCTCCCATATCATGTAGATTAATCTTCATCCGTCAACTGCCGCATCAGCTTGATGCTGAGAATCATCACCAGCAAGCCTATCGTCGTCACCACCATCAGGCCAAAGCCAAACCATCCGAGAACCATCGCAGAGCTGCCTACTCCACTCTTGACGCTGCCATTGCCCATGTCTTGGGCAATGGTGCTCGCAGCGACGGATGCTGTGTGCTGCCATAGTACCGAGACCAGCACAAAAACGGATGCTACGAAAATTAGAGCCAACGCGGCCTGGGACACGGGCCGGGAAGGGAACGGCTTCACCTCACGCTCAGAGCCGCTCGAGTCAATTTCTTCGTGCCATCCAGGGAAAGTAGCCAGCAGGATGAAGCAGAAAAATGCGAGAATAACGGCAACGATTCTGTACAAGTCAGTTAACCTATTCATGGATAACGCAAGCTGAGAAACATACAGGAGATATGGGAAGACCACAGCATCCTTAAACGTCGATGCTACCCAAATCAGGTTCAGCGGATCTTGGTCAACAGTGACGACCTCGGCCAGGGCCGTCGCATTCGAATTGCAGATGTAGGCGCCTCCTGATGGCGATACGCAGATTCCGAAGTACCCCACACGCACTTCCATCTCCGCTCCTCCAACGATGTTCGCTGTTGCTTGCACTACGCCAGGATCCACCTGTGCAAGATTAAAGATGGGGTCGTAGCGTTGGTAATAGAGAGAGATCAAGAATATGCTGGGCATCTGTGGAGAGGAGGACGAGCATCCGGCCAATAAGAGAGCTAACATCGTCAGTTGCATTTCAGAGGTAGACCGCAAGGCATGGGGGTAGCTTACAGAGAAGAATAATGGTCACTGCAACGATTATCATAAGCACGTGATGGTAACCGATCATGGGAATGAAACCTATAATCATACAATCAGTATACACAACCAAGATCGTTTCAACAACTTAATGTTACATACGGGCCATCTTCGCCTTGAAATTGGACGCCATGTCGACGGGTCAAGTCTCAGCCAAGCTTATACCAGTTGATTACTTCACACCGCGGTCTGGATGACTCTCTTCTCGGTCCCCGAGAAGGAGTGTTTGAAGAGCGCTGCTTTGCGCACTATGTCTGAAGGTACTGGTCCCTCGGTTCTATGGCCCGATTATGCTTTGTCGCGCGATAGTCTCTGTCAGTCCAAGCTGCGAAACTCAATGTCTGAAGAAAGCGATCGAATAATGTCGGAAGGTTCTGCAGGTCTTGACGTGGGTATGGAATGTGGGTTCAAGTGCACGAGCTCGAGGAACGATCCCTTGACGAATGGAATACTGGCGGCGAAATCCAAGGAATGTATGTCTGCTTTGCGTCGCGGCGCTCACGAGACCTGGACGGTATACAAGATGTGTCAGATAGTCGAATTAAAAATCCGATAAGCTATGTCCCGATCTGGGGTTCGAATTCAACAACTTAGTGCCAAAAAGAGGCAAAGCTGAGGACAAGGAATGGGGAGGGGAGAAAGAGGGAAAGGGGAGAATTGGGGAGAGAGATCGTAGCTAGCCAAATCCACTCTTGCAACGAATGCCTGCCTCCGGAATTTTTCTTTTCTCTTTTCCACACAACGAGCGAGAGTTGAGGTAACCGGTGACGATGGTGATGATAATGTGGTGGCTGGGAATGGACAGTATACTCCCAATGGAGGAGGCTGGGCATTGTCTTTTGTTTACACCCGGTGGTTCCCCGGTAACCAGGCCTCACCGCCTACTGTACCTGAGGGACCCACGAGGCCCCATTGGGTCTGATCCGCCCACCGATGGCGCTACGATCGATCAGGGATCAGCGATTGGTCCAGGTTCAACTTAGCCTGGGCCCCGCACGGCTTGTCAGCCCTAATCCCTTCTGGTCCCTTGCCAGCCTCCATCATTTTGCGATTTACGTCTCGGAGTGGGTTTTGTCCAGGTCTCATGCCGACGATCACTGCAAAGGTATACACTTAAAATTACTCAAACTGCCCTGACGTCGATCGTCTATCTCCAATAGTGTCCAAGGTAGGGTATACACGACCAAAGATAACATAGAATAATGCGATGCCTCACAAAACACCGTGTATCTCATCCAGATAAAACCCAATAGAATAATAACAATACCAAGAAACGCCAACACACCAAAATATATGCCATTTGTATAGATGCGGCAATGCATAATGTCCAGAATCACCGGGCTGTGTATGAAAATCGCTTAAGATTGAATGGAACAGGTGTCCGGCCGTGACTAGTTTCGTCGCCATCGACATCCTCTTCTTCACTATCGGGAACAATCATGTCTTCACTTCCTTGAGTAAGCGGACGTGTGGAAGGGATCGGGTTTGCCCGAGAGGTGCTTGCCTCGAGGTTCCTTCCCAGGTTACTTGATGTTGAAGGAGAAGGGGTGAAGTTCAGCGATCGTGACCGGGCCAGTGCCGTCTGGCCGAGCCGTTGCAAAGGCGTCAAGCGTTGCCGCCTGGAAGGACTCCGGGTCACCCCAGCTTTCACCCTAGAAGGCGATCTAGAGATAAGCGGGCGATGAGCTTGAGGATCCTTTGTTTGCAAGGTATCCACGTTGGGGCTAGTATGCCCTTCCGCAGCTTGGAAAGTAAACTTAGACAACAGAGAAGAGTTTTGCTCGGGAATACCGTCGTCCTGCACCTGACGAGACACTTCAGGATTCGAGTCCTCGCTAATGGAAGCTGTACTTGGAGCTGCGGCACTTGCCTGTCGCCCATCTACACGGACTTTCTCTTTCGCACTTGCGGGGTCTTCCGATGTGGTAAATGTTGTTGGTGGAGTCGCTTCTTCATGGCCGTCTTCGCGAGGCTCATTTCGCGTTTGAGGCTTGTCCTTGCAATGGTTCGCAGTCTCTGATGAACCTGCAATTTGTGTCATGATGCCCTCGGCTACTTCATCAGAAAACACATCCACAGCTGACTTCCGTGCTTTTTTGCTTCGCGTAACCTTGGCACCACTGGGGCTGGAATCACCCGGGGAGTGAGCAAAGAAACGGCTGCGGCAGTCTGGAAGACTTGGAAGGTTGGCCTCGTCCGTTTCGGAACAAAGTCGTTGCCGCTTGGTGGCCTGCAAGGTAGATGCTCTAGAGGCATGGGCCAGAAAAGAGTTTCGCTCCACACTCCGAACTAGTGGGCTCGATAGCCTATTCACAGTCGCGGATCGGGCGATCCCCGGCCGGGGTGTAACCGGACTACTCTCCCAGGACGCATTGGCATGCCGTTGCAGTAGCCTCTGCTGGTTGGGGGATGGAGAGAGGCTATTTGGATCCAACTCAGCCAAAGGAGTCCGTTTCGGAGTGAAGAATGAGCTGATGGGCTTGTTTGGCTTCAGTTCGGCGGATGACCCGAGTGTCTGGCGACGTTGGATGCCAGGTATGACCCTGCCCGCAGCAGGCCTCAATACCAGTGGTTCTTTTGTTGTTGGATCCAAGTCACCACAAGCGACTCCCACTGCAAGCTCAGGCTCCACATCACCGCCGATGTACGGTAATTCTTCCAGGTTCACATCATCTTCCGGTGGAGTCAGCGTGACTAGCTTTCCAGCTCGGGGGCAAAATACTCTCTGGTAAAGGAAGGTGAGCTCCGCTTGTTTGAAATTCTCCAGATAATTCGAGGGGACATGGTACTGGCCCTCAAATTGAAGCATCCGTAGCGCCTTCTCCACATTCTTGTATTTGCGAATACACCGATAGGCAGTTTTCAACCCCAGCCTGGCAATGTTGGTAGGTAATCACATCCGCTGAGGATACACATGCGTCTAAAGTCGGCGTCCGTCCATCCTATAAGACTGACTTCGCGGCAAGCTGTAAAGTCTGCTCTATTAATCTCAATGCAGTCGCCATGCTGGTCTAGCTTGGACAACAATCTCTTGGCACCGAACACTAGCAAATCAGAGTCTTCCGATATGATCCCATTGATGATGCCCTGGCGCTCCAGGTATACGAGTTGTGCATCGGCCTCATACGGAGCCACCACATACTGAACATTCATCTTTTTCAGTTCGTCGATCAATTGACGAGCCATCAAAGGGGTCACATCCACCGCTTTCTGAAACTCTTGATAAGCTTCCGCTGTCCTTCCCTTCCGTTGCAGCTCCAACCCAAGGGTTTTGCTTTCCTGACGCCGTTGGTGTCGATCCGACTCGGTACCAGCTTTACTTGGTAGATCGTCACCGTCGAAGATAAGATATGGGGTGACCCCAAAATAAAGCAACATGCGGACGCGGTTGAGTACGAAATCGACATGTCTACAATCACGTTAGCACCGGTCCCAAACAATATCCTATACAAAGCCACATACTTGGTAGTCGGCCGGTCCAAAACTAAGTCCACCGCGCAGGCGACCGTACCACGATGCAGCCATCCATATGCGTCGACGCCCAGGGTTTGTCCGCTAAACTTTTTTAAATGACATGGTTTTTGAATAGACTTGAGAAGACCATGGAGCCCTAGCTGACCAGTCAATCTTCTCTGCGCACTCCGGAAAAGACAAAGTGAAGTTGGGCATACCTTTAATGCCCATTGTGGAAACCTTCGAAAGTCGAGCTGCTCCTCGTTAGGTTGTCAAGTTGAACATCCAAAACGGGCAACAGCTCTGACAGTCGATGGTTAGGACACGAGAGACGCGGTGGGCACGAGAACCATGGGGAGAAACTTGCGTAGAAATAGGGGTTGGAAGCCAATCAACCACCTTAGCGGGTCATTGAGTTATGTATGGCCTAGACAACGAGATTGGAATGTAAGTTGACTGCCAGTGTCAGCCCTCCGACGCGCAACAGAAACGCGATAGGCCGGTGCATACAGAAGAAGCCGTGATTGGCCGGGCGTTGGCGGCGTTTGCCTCCGCCATCACCGCCCTATCATTCTGCCGGGCGATAAGGATCGCGGAGATTAGAGGAAAAAAAAAAAAAGAAAGACGAAAGGTTCTAGACTGCAACTTACTGTGCGCAGCAATAACGTTATACTGCTCACTTTTTGTTCTCATTCAAATTCAAGGGAATTAAAGATCGCACCATGCCGGTATCTTTACAGAAAGTTCATAAGCATATCGCTAAAAAGCGAGGGGTAGTTGACGCACTCCATGAGAATAGCAGAGATGCGAAGAGATTGCGCCGCGCAGGTATTAGAGACGATCGGGTTGCTCGTGTCTCTGCCACACTGGCCCGAGGACGACAGTCATACAGTAAGCTTTCAAAAAAGCGTCTCTGGTTTCTACCGGACTTTTCTAATGATTCCCCTAGTTGACCGGATTGTATACTTCCACGAAAATGTCCCGAAGGATGCAGGCGCCTTCTCGGATAGTGACATGATGAATTTAATTGTTAGGTCAGTTGAAACAGAAAGGCCCCCTGGTCATTATCCGATGTATCATACGCATTAACACTGGCGGGCATAGATACATCAACCGAAGTGTCCCTGAAATCGAGCAATTACAGAGTGAACGGCGGAAAGGCCGACCCCCCAGCAAACGAGAGGAAAATCTCCTCCAGCGAACCGACGTGGAGAATAAAGAGTTTAAGACCGGTTTCTGGTTGCCCGATCTTAGCCAACAAGATGTAATCAAGGCCCTTGCCTCATGGAATGGAGATTGGTCCGGACTCAGCAGCATGAAGTTCATTCGCTTGACCAAGGATGGTGGGAAGCAGTCTTCAGCTTTTCCTCCGAAAGGGATGTCGTGATCTTTGGTTATGGTTTTGTTTTAAGACCGCATTGCTCACATTGGTTTTGGCACATAATGGCGTTGACGACCGTATATACCAGCATCTTGATGTTCGTTAGTATGTTTCAAGGTTTGGCTACAAAAGCACATCAACCAAAACGTCTGCTCTGCATCTGTGACGGCATTGCACATCGCCGCCAGGTTATTACCTGTAGGATAAAAATTAAACATAATAATAGCAATGGCAGGATCAGGTTCACAGCGGAAGCACTGGCGGTGATTATCTTCAACTCTTAGCTTTTCTCATGATGTAACCTCATTACACACACTCGAAGGTCTTGGGCATGGCCACTGCAGGCTTTGATCCTTGGGACATATTTTTCGTTAGGAGTATTCAATTGGTCTTCTCTGTCTGTTCTCTATGTATCCCGCGCCTTTATTGTTCCTATTTTATATCGCTTTTGGATACCAGTATCTTTGTTGCCGCCAGTTGAAACACCGATCACAATATATATTTCTAATTTACGGGGTGCGAGATGCTCTATGGATCATGGTCTACCGCCTGTAGATGAACGCGGAGTGAATAAGGATCATGTATTGTCGGAGTTGCTTCCAGTTATACACAGTATTGTAATGTTAAACAATCTCAGGTTCATTAGACATGTTTGTATATTGCACAGGTCACTACTGTTCTTCAGTTGCTGGGGCGGAAAGGATCACTGCCTCAGGCTGCCATCGCAAGAGCTCCCGAGCTTGTTCTTGGCAGCGGTAACATCATCAGTTGAGTTTCCTGCTCGTCACCTCCCAAACTTTCAGCAAAAATCTCCTCCAACTCAACATCCTTTGCATCCATCCAAACCTCACAATTCATTATGTTGTCGCTACGCACCATCGCCCGCTCTGTGCCTCGCACTATCTCCCGTTCCATTGCCACCTCTTCCCGCTCTGCTCTCTTCCGACCTGTCCCGGCGGTTGCTCCCAAAAATGTCATTCTGCAATCTGCTCTGAAGCCCTCATACGCTGCTTTCTCGACTTCCAGTGTATTCAAGCAGTCTCAAGCTGAAGGTAAGATGAATCGAAATGGATATTCTCTCCCAATTCTGGAGAACACGCAAGAAAAAGGAATAAAGAAAACCTCGAGGCTTATGGCACGATGTGATACTCGTTTCTCGATTGCGCTGACAGCGACTTCTAACTGTAGGTGACTTTGAACTTGTTGCCAAGCTTGAGGATGAATTGAAGCATGAGAAGGCTTCCGGTCTCGAGGATCTCGATTCTTCCGTCCAGAATATTCAGTACGTTCTTCAGAACAACTCTTGGGAGGTAAGTGCATTGAATCAAATGTCTCGCATTAACCAAGGCTGATTCATGTCTGCTTGCAGGTCAAGGACGTCCCCGGTGACCAGGAAGTTGTGTTGACGAAGAAGTTCGGCAATGAGGAGTAAGTTCTTGAGTCGCCACTTTCCATTCTTGTGCACTATTCTAATGAACCCCACACAATAGGATCCGTCTCACCTTCACCGTTGCGGATCTTCAGAACTTGAGCGAGCAAGAGGAGTTCGACGATCAGGCTTTGAGCGACGAGCTGGATTTTGAGGCCGGCCAGCCCGGTAACAAGGGTGCCGCTGGCAACCCCGAGGCTGCCCCTGCTGATCGCGAACTGGATGAGCTGGACCGTGACCTGGAGCCCAGCTTCCCTGCCCGCGTCAACATCACCGTTGAGAAGCCTAGCAACGGTGCCATGCTGATCCAGACTGTTGCCCAGGATGGCCTCTTCCAGATCGAGGAGGTCTCCTACTTCTCTAAGCCCGATTTGGCACATGCTCAGACCGCCGAGAAGGACTGGGCTAGACAGAGCCTTTACGCCGGACCTCCCTTCGAGAACCTCGACGAGGATCTGCAGACCTTCTTGGAACGTTACCTCGAGGAGAGAGGAATCAACGCAGAGCTGGCCAACATGATTCCTGACTACATCCAGGTGAAGGAGCAGAAGGAATACGTTCGTTGGCTTGAGAGTAAGTTACCGCCACTCTGGAGACATTAGTATCTATATCTAACAGTGGAACTTTAGACGTCAAGAACTTCATCTCCGCTTAAATGCGGATCAATGATGGATTAGTGCGTCTATAAAAATGCATCGGCCAATCCCTACTCATAATTATAATCCTACCTTTCGACTTTTCTCGTGACCTTTTTTGTGAGGGAGTATCCCATTGCTTCCTGTCATGTTAGCTTGACGTCTGTCCATGCAAGTCGCTATGACCATATTTGCTAGGCAGTGTGCACGTGTATCAATATAGAAACGAATCTAGCATCTAAATGTATTATATTCAAAACTGCATCCTAAAATGCCCTAGTGTTTACAGATTTACCGTGTGAGATCATGCTTCAAAGACTATCAGATCCAGGAGCGAAAAGTACAACCAGTTCTAGAATGATGGTCTCATGTTCACCGTTCATATCCTGATTAATAGATCGTGAGGTGAAAGGTATAATTATGCCTATGCCTTGAAGTAATCCTATGACAACACCAAAACGCCGCATGCATCGTAACCCTGCCTGAAAGCATGTATACTCCAAAACCGCTCGAAAAGTACAAGAAATTCTAGGTAGAAGACCAACAGAAAGTCGATGCAAGGGTTTAAAACTCCATGCTTTCAGTCTTCACCTCCGTCGTATCTTCGTTTCGCTCCCGCTTCCCACCGCGTTCCTCCTTGAGAAGACCGGCAATGAACGAGCGGAAATAATCAACATATGGCTTGAGGCTCGTTTTCTCATAATCCTGGAGTTTGCGGCTTCCTCTCACATCAGAGTCATTGGGCACGCTTCCCTCCCCATCCGCCGTGTCTGTGCCTGCACCGTTATTGGGGTTCTCTGCGTCATACGCATCGATCTCTCCCAATAGTTGTGTGACCGTGGGAACTGAAAGAGGGTCAAACTGCTCGGCCTTTCGAACATCAATGGGCACACAAACACGGCCTGTGCCAGGATGTATGACGAACGGGCTTTTGAGCAAGTGAATCATTTTCTTACTGACTTCAGAATCAAGGCGTGGATAGGTGTACTCCAACACAATATCCTGCTTCGCGTCACGTAATGTAGAAGTGTTAAGAGTGCTGCTCTTCCCGGTCTTTGCGAGCGAGTCAATGTCGGCCCATTTGCTCGTACTAGAGCGGTCTGGGGACGACTCCCATTTCTTGCGCAAGGCATCATTCAAGGCCTTGTCGGGAAGTAGTGCTAGGAGGCGTTGCGCCTGCTCCGAGCTGACAAAGGTGTCCTGGTCCACCAAGGTAGTCTGGGCGAAGTAAGGCTTCAGGATTTCCAGGCTACGGGCCATATGCGGATGCAGCGGACGCTTTAGATTGACACGCTTGCCACTCTGGGCCCCTCCTCGCACGAGATCGAGATACCCTGCAATGGCCCGTCGCCGATCATCGGGAAGGCTGCGAGCACGGGGATCACAGACCCAGGCGTGGGCACCACGACGACCAGAGTAAACCCATAAGATGTGTTGAAATCCAAAATCGTCCCGCAACGCCGCGTCGACAACCTTTATGGCCATGGTTACAAAGGCCCAGCATTTCTCACAGATATTCGCCTTTTCACAGCATGATCGGATATCGTCATAGTCCGTCAAATCGATATCGAACACTAATTCCTTCGCAATTGGTTTCATCTGACCCCCTCGTAGAGTTTTCCGATCGCGGGGGTTTGTATTGTAGACGGGACCGATTTCAAAACGAGATGGGTTCATGCGCAAGATGTCCTTGCGGAAGCTAGGAGGGTGTCAGTGATGTGCTTCGTTACAGAGGCTGCCTTGGTTCGTCCGCTTACAGATCTGCTGTCGCATATGACTGATATCGTAGGTAGGCGTCATTCTGCAGGGTAAGCGCGAATTCACGGTTTCCAAAGTCCGGCGAAGGAACAACTCCATGGTTCAGCCACTGGAAAAGGTAACGAAATGGGAAAAGTCGCTGGTAGAACGCAAGCATAGTATCTGTGTCTACGTGAGCGGGTTGCGGTGCAGAGGATCTGTACAACTTTTGTTAGACTGGCTTCCTATCTATAGAGTGGCGGGTGCTCACTCTACTGCATCTTGATTATTCGAACTCGCATTTCTCGTGTCTGGCGCACTAGATGCAGGAAATTCATCGTCATCGTCGTCATCATCGAATAGTAGGTCTGCAAGTTTGTCTTTCGTATCGTTTCCAGTGGCCTCGGGCGCCTTATCTTCCGGAACATCAGGTGTCGCATCTGTGGGAGGGGCATCCGGAAGGACTTCCTCATCGTTACGATGACTAGGAGACTCCCCGGCAGACACAGAGTGAGGCATTTCTGTGTGTTTTGGATGCTGTATGTACGTTGAACTTGTCTCCGTACAGTGGAGTATACTGAATATCATATTGGGTCATTAACGCGACTGGACGCGTGCCGGACGCGCTGCCACCCGGGAAGCCCTAAGTCCTAAGCCCTAGCTTACCGCAGATTACTGGTCACATGATATGGAGCCAAGAAAGCACGTGCCATCGACCAAGACCTAACCGCAAACGGCCATCTACTATACTACGGACGGGATACACGACCGACTACAACCTTCTATTTTAATCACGCCAATGCCTCTCCACCAAGACGCAATACTCTCTGTACCCACCCATGAGCCTCAGGGGCCCTCAATTGCCGTTTGCGGCAGCTTGGAAGTCGTATTCCTGTCCATTAACTCCTATGGATGACGACTACATTCGTTGCAAATCCTGGAGACCATCCACTTGACGAGCATTACAAAGATCAATGAACGTATCACGTTATTTACTTGTGCTCGATCGTCAATATATTCCAAATCCGGATTTTCAGGAGATATTAGTGTCGTCATACTCGAGGACTGTTTCAGCTGTGGTCGAGCAATATCTGTTAGGTGTCGTCATTGACCTGGTATGCACAGATGAAGTTTACGAAGCATGTAAAACTCTACATTCTTCGTGATTTGCTGGGACTCCTTTGATCCCGTATTTGCTCTCTTCATTGCGGCTTTCATTTTGCGCTTTGTACCATGCGCACAACGTGAATTTCACGCTTACCGTAAAGCTTGCAGAACCTCCCTATAGCTTGGCTCCACATTCCAGAGGCGCTTTTCTCGATCTTGCAGAGTTCTGCCGATCTGAAGCACATGGGTAATCACTGATGGTGCCACCAAACTGGTGTCATTAAACTAAAAATCGGTGACCACAAGCAGGAAGATCCCCTGTTGGCCAACTTTGTAGGTTGTTGACTGCCGTTTTGGAATGACTTCATGGTTTAATTTTGGCCATGGTTGTCCATGGCGTGGAAAGAACATGCGTTCCAGGAACAAGCCTGTCACAGATGATGCAGCCATTTTGCTCAAGGAACAAAACTGTATCTACATGTTCCTTGAAGATTCGATGACCGGATCGGGCTAGCATCTGTGGCATCTCTTGAAGACACTTGACTGAAGTGATGACACCACGACTCTCTGCAGAATGTGTCCAAGATCTAAGTACGCCATCTGTCTTCCTGCAGCACCGAAGATCCGACTGGGTAGGTGGGTTTCTCACCTGAATACGATACCACGTAGCACCCACCTCCCAACTTTATCTGAAGATTTTGAGTCTTTTCCAAATACCACCAATTGCTTGTCCCACTAATCAACTTACCAGCAAACCATGGTTCGTTATATCGCAGTTTTACACTGCAGACCAATGGGCCTTATGTGCCGAGCAATCAAGATTTTCTTCTCCTCTTGAACCAGGCACCAGATCTTGTTGAAAATCGATACTACTGTGGCATTGTAGCCATCAATGAGCATCCGCACGGAAACGGCAACCAACGTCGCCGTGATGGAGATATAAGTTCACGTCTTCTCTCTATCGAAATGACTTCTTTTTCAACACGCTTGTATCGAGCCTAGAAAAGTCGCTCGCTCTTATTTCACTCGTTTGATTCCAACTGATTGTCTTTGTTTGTGCTTCTGGTATCTGCTTTTGAGAGGTCGATCATCCTTCGAGATGGTTAAGGGAACTATTGCTCTGCTGGCTCTGGCTGGCCCAGCACTCGCTGGTGTTATCCAGAACCGAGGCGTGGATCATGGGGCTCCGGCTACAATTGATCTGCCCCCTCAGAAGGAGCCTCCTCACTGGACTGAGGCTCCCAACCCGGCTCCCCAGCCTACTGGGCCTCACAAGGAGCCCCCTCAGAACACGGAGCCTGCTCATGAGAAGCCTACTCAGGAGAAGCCTACCAAGGAGCCCAGCAAGACGGAGCCTGCTCACACTAAGCCTCCGAAGACGGAGCCTACTCATGAGAAGCCTCCCAACACGGAGCCTCCGCACACCAAGCCCCCCAACACGGAGCCTCCGCACACCAAGCCTACCGGCACGGAGCCTCCTCACACCAAGCCTACCGGCAC